TTGCGGCGCTCGTAAATAAGCTAGCTCCAATTCGAGCTCCAAATATATTTTTATTGTATTTACAGCTCACAATTATAAAAAAATGTTAAAAGGCATTTCATTATTTGGAAAACAGATCGTTGAATACTCGCTCTTTAATATCGAGTATAAAAATTGCGAGGGACATTTTTCGTCAAGAATGTCCTGAGAGTAGCCCAGAGAAAGGCGATCCTGCGAGGGGAATGGCGTGGGGAATGGTGTGCAAGAAAAATATATATTTTTTTATTGGATAGAGTAGGATAGTACTTGTAGACGATCGTGCTCGCGGCGAAGTCTCGATTGGGCGAAGTATCGAACGACTCATCCGACGTGCAAGAATACGCCATTTGGCCCGCTATAGCGATTGTAGTAGACGTAGTAATAACATAGCGCGGTATCAGCACATCGTATCGCGCGCAGGAGACGCGCGGACTTCGCGCAGCTTCAGATTCTAAGAAAGCATCTTGTCCTCGGGAATAGTTGGGCTGGTAGCCGTCGGACCTGCGGATGCGCGCCTCATCGCTTCGGACTCTCGAAGAGCCTCGTCAAAGCTCTGCATTGAGCCGGATCTTGAAGGCACAACTTTTGTCTGTGAAAAGAAAAAAAAATTTGAATTCTTAGCTAAAAGATAGAAGAAATAATAGAAAGATAGAAGAAATTATAATTCCATAATTAGTAATTTTAAGAAGTACAAATTTAGCATGTAGTAAATTATTTAATTGCTTAATAAAAATATTTCTTTAATTTTCTTTAATAAAATTAATTCAATTTAATTTTAATTACCTTAATGTTCTCGCAGGCAGATCCAACCCTTTCCTCCAATGATCGGAAGCTGTCAGAATTGCGCATCTGACCCAGTTTCATAGAAATGCCACTACCAAAGCCACCCAGAATACTCGTCGTCTTTTCAGCCGTAGACTTGAGTACAGATTCTGTCTTTTGGTACCTGATATGAAAAAAAAAAAACGAACTGTTGTTAAAACAATAAACAACACTGATCTTCACTGTAGATTATCTTCTGTGAAAACAACAACTGCGCTAATTAATTTTTAATGTTATATATAGTATTGTACACAAACTGTTACATAACATTAGCATTTGTTGTGTTAAACTTTGTTTTTGTTTCAAGCTGGTGTGAACGATATTCTATATTGTGTTGAAGATATTTGCGTCAATAATTTAAATGATAAAAATTAAGATATTAATACGCAATATTATTATTACACAATATTTCCAAAGTAGATCAGTCAAATTTGAGCAGCATATTGTATTGTTCACTTTGAGAATAAAGTTGACGGTCAGTTTCATAAGCATTTTATACGCAAATATCTATCGCTAATATGATGCAAAATTTACAAAACTTGGATTGCGACGAGAAAAATGTGACGCTTTGTGCGTACTTACAAACTATTCGCAGAGACTGTCCTGGTTAAGCGACCGAGTTTCTCGCCGATGTTGTGATAACTGAATGAGAACCCAACCAAAAGTCAAAGAAATCAATGCTTCTATGTGTGTCTAAAGAAGAGAAGAAGTGGAATACGACATTCATTGTTGTTGAAAAGAATGACTGTTGTTTTGCAAAAATGAAAACGAAGAGACGAAAGAAATAAGATAGATAAGAGAAAATAAAAATTCGGAAATAAATAACAAGATTTGGGAAATACGATTTGTATATATACGCGTTAATATTTTACTGTCGTACGATGAAATATTTCGCTAGTTTAATAAATTTCATCTTATAGTCCAGTGATACTATTACGGTTTTCTATCCACTTCTTCTTCTTCTATAAATAAACTATAGAGTGTAGAGTGCAGAGTGTATAAAGTACATGTATAAGGTGTATCAAGGAAACGTGCAAAGGAAGCAAACAATAAGAAACATACATCTGGCTTTCCTTAACATTCTTGATTCCCTGATTGACATCGTCGGTAAGTTCTTTCCAAACGCTGATGCCTAGCTTCCTCTTCAAATCTTGCGAAACCTTGATCTTATTGGCGAGAACATGTCTCAGAGTCTGAATCTCCTCTTCAACCTGAAATCGATTTTTGTTATCTTCCCTCCTTAAAATTTTTCTAGGTCTCCGAGACTTACCTTTGCCAACTGGGCACTCCATTCGGCTTTCTGTTTTTCTTGCTCCTCCAAAGAGAGTCCTTGAAGCTCATTCGCTATGTTATCTGATGATGGCGACAGAGAACCGGCCGAGTGGAGCGAGGCGTCTTCTCCTGGAATAAAAGGGTAGAAAGTAAATTAGTCGTAAGGTATATGCTACCATGACGGTCACGCTGACTGCTCAAAAGGATCACTTTTCTTGCTAACAGATTATAATTATTATGTTACATATGAAAAGGTAATATTTATATTTTACAGAAAATTTCGAATAATAATTTTCCACATGCAATACAAAAATTATTAAACCGAAAGATTAAAATTAATAATAAAAATTAAACCAGAGAAACTAAAGATTAGAAAAAATTAAACTTAAAAACTAAGGGATTAAGATTAAATAATATCAGAAAAATATCTGATCTTAAATAATATAATTCATATCATATTTGTTATTTATCAATTTATAATAAAATTTATAAATTATTTATAAATTTGTTTGAAATAATAAAATCAATTATATATATATGCCAAAAATCTTATCTGAATAGTATCAGCAGGTTGAGCAAAAAATTCCGTACAACTGTAAATCTCCTTATAATTGTCATCAATTGTAAATCAGAATACATTATAATTTTAAGATTACAATTCTCTAAAAAAATTGTCAAATTAATTTTAAAAAAAATAAAAATAAATATTTTTCAATTAAGGACATCTCTAATCAAATTCCAACATTTCAAACAATTTTTATAATAAATAGATAATTCTTTCAATCAAATCAATATTAACTTAATTTTGTATATTTTGTAGACAATTTTACAATCCCAAAATAAAATGTATCTAACGATTGCGTTAAAATGAAAATATGAGAATAGGAATGCAACCAATTGTAATTTTTCAATCGTTTACAGGAAATGATTGCTTAAATTTCGAACGAATGATTCCGATTGTTCCGGTTTCGTAAGATTGCAAAAGAATGCGCGGAGTTTTGCAGTTTCAGCAGAGCGAAACCTCAATCTAGAAAAATTAGAAGTATGTTTCCACATCGCTGTACGCGATAATTTCAGGATCCTTTTTCGTGTACTTTCACACGTCGAGAAGAAATTAATCGACGCCGAGAAATTGCACTAGATGTAACCGCAAAATTTTTCATGTGAAAGTATACAATTATTATGTTAGAAATTAAATATATATCTTGTTAATTTAAAAATTTACAAATCTATACGAATGTATAAAGTTTTAGGTTTAAAAAGTTAAAAATAATAAAAAAAAAGAATAAAAAAAAGAATTTAGATCTAAAGAAAAGTGAATAAATATCCTTGCAATATGTGATAATTATTAGAATAATATTATATAATTATTTTAAACAATTAAAATTCACTTATTCAGTTATAAATGATATTCTATTACCTATTATAATTCTTCAATTCTAATATCAAAATTTAGTCTTTTATTTAATCACTCACATTTTCTTTAACATTTAACATCTTGATATCAATATTTTTTCCAATTATTGTCAAACAAGTTTGACAATTTTTAAATAATTAATTAAATAAATTTAATAAACATTCTCATTTATTTTTACATTATTTTTACATTCTATTCAGAATTTCTTAATTTTTTTGGTCATAATTTTTCAAACATTAATTCTGCGTCATTGATATTTGTAAGATACTACGAAATTATTTACGAATGCATCCTGATTTTCATCAAGGTTTTAGCAAATATTCGTAATATTGTTTATCGCAAAATTACGAACAAAATTAAAAGCGATAAAAGAATTTTTCTTGTTACTCCTAGCACCTTTTATTAATTCGAGGAGCTTCTTGTAATTCTGACTATTGCTGATCCTGGCGAGGTAAGGTTTGGAAAGATCCTGGAAGATCACGCGAATCGATCGTTTCTTCTTCTTACAGCCGTCACGTAACTCTTCCTGTGACAAAAATTCACTCTCGACGGACAAGTTGCCGTCATCCACGACAATTTCATCGATTTCGCCATTAGAGTCGCGCCAACAATGAACCACTAACTCATCCACTTCGTCGTCATCGAGTTCGTCAATGTCATCAAAACTCGGTGTTGTTGTTAGCTTCGAGTAATATGCATCTTCCTCATATTCTAACGATTCGAATTCACGTTCATTCTCGCTCGGACAGTTCTCTTCACCATGTTCCTGGCAAACTTTCCCGCGCGATTGAATGGTTCTTGGATCTATAGAATGCTTAGGATTCGCCATATTGCTTCTCATGGTCCAGAAGACACAAGAGATTATTCTAAACTTCTCCTTCAAAATCTTGTTCCAAACAAATATATCTATAGATTACAATTGCTTTTTCTGATTCCTCTCAAAACTGTATGAATTTTGTTTTCAGAAACAAGCTCCAGAAAAGCTTCATTGAATGTTTCGGACAGGAAATATCGATGCTTTGAAGGATTTAATATCAATGCTCAGATTCAATATCAATGTTGCTTTTCATAGTTTGTGTTAACGATTCTCGCCAACAAACCAGTTTGAGATTTCCTTTTCTCTTCAAAATCTTGTTTCAAGATTATATTGCAAAATCATTCTTCTATATTTTACTGCAATCTTCCGACAATATTTTAACAATATATCTTGCGAATAAAGATTCATCTATAATTTTAATTTCGCATATTGCACATTGTACTAATCATAATAAAATATTGACATAATCCAGGATTAAAGATGAAGTAATTATCGGGAGGATTAGCATGTATCTTCTCACACAATTTTAGCAGAAACGGACTTTCGACTTCACATTTATCACAATCAATTTATCACATTTTAATCGCTCATATTTTACTAGGAAATACCAAATAATGCAATAATTTAAAAATTTGTGCGTTCAACTTTCCTTCCAACGGGATCGATTTCCGGATCTACGTCGCGATGCATGATCTGATGACTTTGCAATCCGTGCAAATTCGGGACGATTTGCAAAACGCGATCACGTGCGTCGACGCATGCACACACGACTAACAGCTGTGCTTTGAGAACGACGCCGATGTTGCCGATCACGAAGACGCCACCACGTTTCAGAGAAATCGAGCGGGTTCTCGCTCTGCTCTAAAGGGAGACAAGGAGGAGTGAGGAAGCGAGAGGAGGGAGGGGAAAAAGAAAGGAGGGAATGGACAGGTGGCCTTGGTTCTCCATCGAAGAATAGAGGGGACTTGATACTGTGATTCTATGATTCGGAAATCTACCTCGAAAATAAAAAAAAGAAGAAAAAAAAGAAGAAGAAAAGAAAAAGACAAGAAGACAGAAACCTAGCTCCTAGCTCCCAAGTTTTTAACAGATTTATAAAACTAAGGTAAATTCAATAGAAAAAAATATATATATAAAATATATATAATACATAAAATAAATTCTCTTGAAATAAAAATCTATGTATATATATATAAAATATAAATTTAACAGACTTTTTTCTGCTACTGATTACATGCCGTTATTTTTTTATAAATTAATTAATTAAATATTTATAAACTATATAAACTATATAATAGAATAATATAAACCGGATGTTTAATGAATGATAAATAAATCGGACAGGATTTTAGACGCTAATTAACTTTTCATTATTTTTGAATACATTAAATAAATCCAATAAATCATTTCTTGGTCTTCGTTGGCTGCATACTGTTTACTTACGGATATTGAAACCATAGCAGTCGAAAACTAAGTTTTTATCTTCTCTAATACATCAATAATGATAAATCCCTGTGAGAAATTTTAATTAATTTATTTTGATGCGACAATCATTGTTCGATTTGACTTTCTCTGTGATATATATTTACGCGTTCCAAGCGAGATTTTCTTGAAACCCAGCACGTTAATTAAGAGACTCTCGCTAATTCTTGTTAACATCTCGCGCTCAACTTGATCTCTACTGAGTGTCTTAAAATTCCGGATACTTATGACACTCGGTCGTACGTGATTTAATTCCGTATGCATGTTTCCATGCATTCTATTTAAGCAACGGATATAAAACAGAAAAAGTAGGTTAAAGATGGTCATAAAGAGAAAGACAGAGAAAGAGAAAGAGAGAAACTAGATCCGATCCAGCGCTCTGATTGGTTCATCGACCTTCTCGCTGGAGTGCTCCGTTGTTTTTGCGATCGATGACGAAAGCGCGGAAGCGTGACAAAGATGTATAATAAAAGTTCTTGAAACTTCGCGGACTTTCAGCAAACTGGTTTATCGATCCAACTCAGTGGCGAGTTCTCGTCCATACTCAGTGGCACGTGTTTAAAAGCGATCATCTGAATCGCATTTATTATAAATATCATATATTGAAACAGGAAGAAACAGAAGTCTTGAAAATTGATTTCTAACTTTCGATCTGACAAAAGTTTTGTCTAAAATATCTCTCTTAACATCTTCAATTAGACTTCTTCTTCTGTTCAGTACTGTTAATTTTTCATTATCTTAAGCTGAAAGGTTTTAAACAAAATATTTACCTTCATTTGCTTGCCGTTTTTCTCTTTAATATCATTTGCCATAAATTGTCTGCATTAATTTTTGCATGATACATATTTCTTATCTGGAAAAAAATATCTGGAAAAATTTGAAAAAAAAATATCTAAAAAAATTCTTCGAAAAAAATATTTTTTCGAGAGATAATATTTTGTTTGAGATAATAAACTTAGCCAAGAATATTTTATCAAAGAACATAAATTACAGTTAAATTTTTCCAGGGAAGAGAACAAAGTGAAGAGAATTGGCTATAATCAGTGCAGCTGTACCCGCATTATTATCGTAATCTACTGTGTTAGTTACATCCTCTGTTTTACTTCCTACTTTTATTTCTGCGAAAAACTCGGAATTTTTCTCTCTTGTAACAATATTTCTATTTTATCTTTATTATAATAATTATAATTGGTAATACTTTATTTTATATAACGATATCGCACACAAGATTCATTTATTATGTATTTGAAAATTAAATATAGATTTAAAAAGTTTGCGAGAAATGCATTTATTATCAAAGTTGCTCCATGATTCATTTTACGATAAATATCAAAGAACCGGATGTTAACTAATGCAACGCAAAAAAGGAAGAAAAATGTGAGAAATGTAGACTCGTATGGAAACTCGCCGGCTACTCGCACGCATGCACGCATAAACACACGCACAGACAAACGGACGAGTTCACAAGGTCGTTGCTGGAAACGTCAAGATAGCGGATGACGCGTATCAATAGGTTAGAATTTAATCATCTGACTGTTCTTGTACTCTTGAGACGAGTTTACGTCGGCTAATTCTTAACTTTTCGAACGATAGCGATCTATCACGAGGCTTAATTGTGAGCGATTCTATGAATAATTGATTTTTCGATCAAGTCGAAGCGGACGACGAAATTGATGGTCTCACCTGTTGGTACGTTGCTCATTTTCGGGTGGTCTCGCGGCGCAAAGTTGGAGGAAAAAATGACGATTTTCGTCGACCGTGCGAAAAAGATCAGCTGTCTCAAGCGTCACAAATTGGCTCACCAGGAAGCGGAAAGTAGCATACGTTCCTCGATACCGAGAACAGATCGATCGATCTCGTCTCGACGGTGAACTGGCTGAGCGCCGGCGGCCATATTGGAAACGCGCTTGCTAATGGCGCCGTCTAGTATGCGTTTGGTAAAGCCTAGGACGATTCGGCGGAGAGATTTGATAATAATACCGTGATAAGTGTAATTATAAATGATGCTACAATTTATATCTTATTGGAATACAAAAATATAAAATTCATATTGATTAAAGATTTTATGTACTGTATATATGCAATGTTAAATCTAATTATTCGTTATACGATAATTTAAAATATCTAATAATAAAGAATATAAAAATAAGATAGTATAAATTTATAATAACTGTGCTTTACGATTTTTACGATTTATAATTATATAGATTATCAAGTGATTAAAATTTTTAGCTCTTTTTCTAAGTTTCTCTCTGTTAAATTAATTTTTTTCATCAAATTAATTTCTAGATAAAATCAATCGAGTTGCTGGGCTTTTAAATTTGTGAAATAAATGTGAGATACGGAAAGAACTCTTTTTTAACAACATTTATTTCTAATATTATCTATGTACAGTTACACACCGGCGTGATCTATGCAACGCAAACACAACAAATTCCTATAAATTACGTGCGCGATAATTGTTAATAATAATAAGGTTCTCAGAGGTGATCCGGATAGTTATCGTTATCAGCATACGATTATCATAATACGTAAATATTCGCTGTTTCTTCACATAGAAATCCTATCGGGTGTCGGATATGTATTCTTCTATGTGCACTCGTGTATTTATATTAATAATATAAACTCGCGATTGAAGTGACGCAGTCGTATACTTGAAGGCTATGCGATTCTGCTTATCAGCCACAAATTATCATCTACAGACCGTGAACTCGAGACTGGAGCAGCTATGATTGGCTTCGACAGACCAGATGGGATTATCGAGGGAACTAAATTCCCAATCACACCGAATTTTAAAAACACTATCCAACAAATATCTTAACTCTAAAATTACGAAAAGAAGCTTTTTTTTTATTTTAATCTTTTATCTTTTCTCTCTCGTTTTTAATTTCTTTGATTGCTATATTTTTTTCTTTAGAAAGGGGAGAAAAATTTCAACGGATTGATTGGTTTTAAGAGAGCTTTTCTAGCTTATTCCATATCACGTTTAGAATTCAGATGTTTTCAGAGGTTTAAAACACATTTGGCGCTTCGAGAACCCCAAATTATTGTCGTCCTTTCTAAATTAAGCTTGTTTCACATACACACAACTTGGCACGTAACACGTGTCTGAAGATTTGCCCTAGGAAGCTTCTATCGCGCAAAAGATACATTTATCTGGAAGCAATAATATAATTTCTTCGGCAAATATATATTGAATTCTTTGTGCCTTTTTACATTTTTAGATGGAATTTTTACGTTTTTTTAAAGTTTTGTTTCTTAAATCTCTCCGTTGATTTTTTGTAGTTTTTATTTTTCGGATTTAGCTTTCTTAAATTCGCGGACTTTAGAATCCTTGGCATCAAAATTCGTGGATTCTGAAATCTCGCTTATTTTCAACATGGCATCTCGACGATTGAAATTCGGCAATTTTTTGCTTCAAATTGAATGTCGAAAATAATCCGAATGCGCAAAGTTTATGACAAATAATTATTGCTTGATACAAAACTGTCGCGAAAAGTCGTTTGGCCCGTTTGGCTTTGGTACAGGTGTATTATACAATTTCTGTATATTTACATGAAAATCTACGAGGTTCCTGCTCAAAGAGTCCGATAAAAATACACGAAAGAAAGTCGATACAATCGATACGTATTTTTGATATTTGTAATATCAGACTTTTTTATCTAATATATGCCTTTATAGATAAGTCTTTTATCATTTGCTATCTTGTTTTTATTGTTACGAAATGATTCATTCTTCGATCTAAATTTTGGATTGCATTTGCAATTGTAAAGATATAAGGTTTTTTTCTACATTTCTGTTACGTACATTTTTTATATAAATATACAAGAATAGTTTTAGATAGAACTAAGATTGATTTTTGTACGTTAAAAACGTAACTTGTTGATTGAATTGACAGATCGATAGAAAAGCGTTTAATATGCAGATAAATATTTAAATGAGAAACCGTGATAAGAACGATAATTTGCGATGAAATTACATAAACCTGAAATAAGTCTCCTCAATCTAGGAACATTCTATATAAATTACAAATCAGTTTCTGTCTCTACTGGCTTCTTCAAGCAGGGATAGACTACGAGAGAATCGCCTTTCCGGTTATCCAACTTGGCCTCTTATAAAAATAGCGGCGGAGACAGGAAACGCGAACTAATGATACAATCGAATGCCCGAAAACTGTTAATACGAAATTTCAAATTTCAATTTTCGAATAATATTCGCTTGTATCTTCGATTCGCTCTTTTTCTACGACAAGGAGCGTGGGAAAAATTCCCAGCAACTCGTCGAGTTTCAATTTCGTGCTGAAAGTATCTCGCTCAAGATCTGCTTTTAATTACTTTACACAAAGACATCGATTTCTAATGGCGTCTATCATTGATCTACGCACCTGTCCTCTTAGGCAATTTATTTATAACTTTGCACTAACGACGCCCGATTGCCGATCCTCACGGGCGCCGGGCGTTAATGGAAGCTAACGAAGTCCGTCTTCATTAAAAGATATCTTCGATATCGGTGTAATTACGGTCCCAATATCCGCCTTGGTAAATCCAATCTTCCTGGCCTGTATAAGGATTCGTACCGGCTTGAAACCACCTGCACAAATTTGTTTTCCAAATCACCAATTGCACTGATAAGGCGTAGATTATTAATATTTAATTGATTTTATGCGTTATAAATGTTTTTGATTTATTCATTATTAAAATTTCATTCTTTTTTTAAATTCTCATTAAATTTTAATTCTTAAAGCCTTTAATTTAAATTTTTATTTTTTTTAACTCTAAATAGGTACTTTTTAAAAATGAGATTATACCTGGGAACATATTCGTGTCCTTTCTTCTGTTTACGCGCTTTGCGAGAATTTCTCTGTTTCTCCTCGAGTCTAGTTTTCTCAGACGCTGCTCCATCTTGATCGCCGTTCTCCAACTTCCGGATATCCGGCCTCAATCTTGAATCGGTCGGGCACAATGTCTCTCCCATATTGGTTTCCAGCTCATTCAGTGACATCGCGAATGTCGTGAATTGATAATACTGTGAATCGCAGTATTTTTGTATCAGCAAATAAATAAAATCATATATAAATAAGATATATTAAATACATTCTTATTTACATACATTAATATATATTATTTCTATTGAATTCATATATCATGAGATATAAATCTATTGTAAATAAGAATAATGTAAGAAATATTATTATAACAGAATAATTTATTACAGAAAAATATTAGATGTTTTTAGACTTTGAATAAAATTTAAGAAAAAATTAATGATCAAATGTTCGAGATGTAAATTTGATTGAACTAACATCAGAACTATTACTCGGTCTTGGTGTGGCTTTCCACAACGTGGTAGATCCTGGAATTTCGTCCACAATTGGAACGTCATCAACGACCGTGCTGCCAAAGGACTCATCTATTGCATCCTGTACAGAGAAAGAATATACATTTCACATATGTATATATATATATATATTTATATAACAATTTGGTGAGCAAAAATTGTTTTATACCTGATGCAGAGGCTTGAAGGCCCCAACTTTGAGACTATGAAGCTTTGCTAGGACTTTTTTGTGACCTGGACTGCCTTGCGGACTTTTAGCTTCCAATTTGATCTTCTCCAGCATTTCTTCGTACAATGAAGGCGCGCAAGATCGTAAAACTTCAGTCCATTGGCCATAAAGAAATAATAACTTCCTTTTTCTGAAGAAATATAAAGAAATAAAGTCTTTCAGTAATAAAGTCTTTCGTTTCATTTAAAGTCAAAGAAATTTATTACACAAATGAAAGTTTTCTTTATACTTGCGTTTGTCTTGCTAATTAAAAATTCTTAAAACTTACTCCTGATCCGTTATAAAACCCTCGACGCGATGGACGTCCTTGCCGTTCAGAGTGCTTTTAATAAAGCATAGCTTAGCTTTCAGATTATCCCCTCCGTGTTGTTTGATCTCCAAAGGACCCGATTGCTCCATCCATAATTGACCCACCAGGACATTATGAAGGATGCAATTGACATTTTGCCAAGTGTAAGCCTCCTTCCACCTATTCAAGTACAGCTATTAACATATCGAGTATCGTTTAAAAAGTTCCGAGTCTTTGATAAAATTCTTTTAATATTTTTTAATCTTAATAATAATTGATTAAGTTAAATTAAAAAAAAAATTTCTTCTTTAAAAAGTCTTTCTTAATTTTTAATTTTTGGTAATAGTGAATTGAGATAATTAAATTAACAGAAATAATGGCAATATCAACATTGTAATATAAAATAAATAGCTATATTGTATATAAAATAGCTATTATAATTATAATTATAAACTTACTTAGGTAATTCGACTGTGACAACCCCTTTCGGGTGAACTTCCAACGATTTCCCCCAGAATTTCAGTTTGGGATGGATGCTGCCATGAAAGATGAAGTCTTCACTGTCGGCGTAGAATGCCGATACTGGTGGGTGATGCGAAACTTGCTCGCATATTATCCTGAAGAAGATTTAAAGAAAAAAATAATTCCTACGCGTGATATAACAAAATGATAAATTAAATAATATAAAAAAATAAGTCACTTTTTAGTAATATAATTAACTAGTATATTAATAAATATATAATCCGTGAAATAATTAATCACCGAAAGTCCTCGCGTTCTAGCTCGTACGTCTCGCCCAAAATCGGATTGAAAGGTTTTCCGAAGCGCTCCCAATTCGAAGCGAGAGCACTTACAGCAAATGCCGCAACATACTGCGTAATCATTAATTTCATTTATTAATAGTATCGGGTTATTGATTTATTATTCCTATTAAAAGTAATTTTCCGCGTACCTGAAGCCTCGAGACCGGTGACTCCTGCTGGGATGCCTGCTTGAGCAATATGGCATATTCCATGTATTCCGCGACGCGTTGCAGGAAAGAAAGAGGCTCGTTGAAGATGACCGGCATGCTGGTCTTGCTGATGTCTTTGCCCAACTGCAGCGTCACCGAGCAAAGATTTACTTCGGAATGACCCGGAACTGGTAAAGATGTTCTTGAAAAACAAAACGTGCTCTCATAGAAATGAAATGAAAGATTTCGTTAAAGATTTAAAAATTATATATAATTTTAATTTGTAAAATTATATATAATTTTAATTTGTTAAGTTTTGTGAAGAACCGAATAAACAAGCTGAATCTTTCAAAATTTCTCTATTTGAAAAATAGTAGATTTCTATTTGATTATTTACGATTCTCAATGCGATCGAAAATTCAAAGTTCAGATTTATAAATTTAAATGTTTATAAAAAATATTATAAAAAAATATATGCGTGCGTGCGTGTGTGTGTGTGTGTGTGTGTGTGTGTGTGTGTGTGTGTGTGTGTGTGTGTGTGTGTGTGTTGT